AGGAGGTCGAAGCAGGCCCGAGCAGGTGAGGGGAGATCCTCCTGTTGATCAGCCTTCTCCTCGTCCTCCGACTCCTCCACATCCATCTCGCCCGCCTCCATTCCTTTTCCTTATGAACAACTCCCTGTCACACCCCGAGGCCGACTGGAAGGGCAGGCCGGGCGTTTCGCCTGAGACTTCCTCACCGCTTATGACCCTGAATATGAAACTTTGCAACAGTTTCACGGATGAAGGGCGAGTCGCTCTCAAAATGTGGCTCTCGCCTTAGCGCCGCGCGCGTCCGTCAAAAAAGTTGCAAGAACGTCACCGACTGAGGACAAGTGGTTTTCAAAGTGTGGCTCTCACCTCTGCGCCGCACACGTCAGTCTTACAAAATTGCAAGAACTTCGCAGATGGAGGGCGGGTCGTTTTCAAAATGTGGCTCTCGCATTCGCGCCGCGCACATTCGCCAAAAGAAATCACAAGCGCTTCACGGGATGGAGGGCGGGCCGTTTTCAAAATGACGCTCTGGCCCGTGCGCCGCGCACATTTGCACATTCGATCTGGGCTTGTACCGAAGACTCGGGCGCACGCCCCGCCTGTGCAACCAAATTTTTTGGAGCGGCATAGCGTCATGGGACATGTATCTGATAGCCGCCGCCCAGCCTGCCGCACCCACATCATGGCGACTCTGCCGTTGCAGAGCCCAGAGCTGGTGGCTGCATGGAAGGCCCGCGACAACGAACGAGTCAGGGTAGCCAGACTAGCTGGCTCAACCAACATCCTTGCGGCCGGCCAGGCGGTTACAGCCGCAGGCCGCCGCATAGGGCGTGCAACAAAACAGCCGCCACATCTTCGAATCACTTGAGGCTCCTTCTGGGAATCCCTTGCCACACAAAATAAAAAGCAAAAATTTCGGAGGGCGGTTCTTTTTGAAAATGCGGCTCTCGCGTTAGCGCCGCGCGCAGTCGTTTGGTTATCATGCTCAACGTTCCAGAAATCGTATTTTGACACGATGTCGGACTGTCAGGGCGCAACATGTACTGTGATGTGTGGAGTTAAGTCCCAGGAATGGCGTCCTGGCACGATTCAGGATCGTCAAGGCGAAATAGTAACAGTGAGTCACGGCGTTGAAATCCCAGGAATGAAGCACTTCCTTCAGTGAAACTGAACCCTTGAAGGACCCAGGAAGAGGAAGCTTGCAGGGAAGGTTCAGTGTAACATCGTGAATGAGCCTTGGGTTTCCACTGGTCCTCCTCCTCCCCCTCTTCCTCCCCCTCCTCCTCCTCCTCGTCCTCCTCCTCCTCCTCATCATGATCACCACCATCATCATCATCATCACCATCATCAGCATCAGCATCAGCATCAGCATCAGCATCATCATCATCATCATCATCATCATCATCATCATCATCATCATCATCATCATCATCATCACCATCACCATCACCATCACCATCATCATCATCATCAGCATCATCATCATCATCACCATCATCATCATCACCATCATCATCATCAGCATCGGCATCATCAGCATCAACATCATCATTATCATCATCAGCAGCAGCATCACCACCATCATCATCATCATCATCATCATCAGCATCATCATCCACATCCTCATCCTGATCCTGATCCTCATCTTCGTCGTCGTCATGCTCCTCACGTTCATCAACCGCATCATCATACGCATCATCATCAGCAGCAGCAGCAGCATCATCCCAGCTTCCTGCTCTGGTCTCCCTCTCCGTGCCACTGCGCGCGAGCTCCCGCGCGCGAGCGCTCGACTACGTACCCTCCCGCTCTTGCACAACGAACGTGCTACTGGTTCTGCTGCGCTCACGCTGCCGTAGGGGTCACTCACTCACTCACAAGCCATACGCCGTCCGGCGCGTGGGCAAGAAAACAAGGTCAAGAAATCACAGACAGCAATAGGTGAAACGCTGCGCCGGCTAAATTGATCAAGAGGAGGAGGAGGAGGAGGAGGAGGAGGAGGAGGAGGAGGAGGAGGAGGAGGAAGCGCCCTGGCAGGCGCGCCTTCCCCCTTCTGCCGTAGGGGTCGCGGTCGGAAAATACTTCCCCCGCGGACTCAAAGGCAAGTTGTTCTGGCAACGCGCCGGCGCCCCCAGATTCTCGAGTTCAATCTTCACGCCACAACTGGTGCCTCATGACTTGTCCTCGGATCCCAGACCGCGTTGAGCGCGTCGCTGAGGGGGCCGCTGAGGGGTCAGAAGACTTGTTCTGGACTTCGCAGAGGAGTAGTAAGAACTGGTCACTCGCCGTCTCCACTGCATGGTCGTAGAAAGTTCCTCCTTAAGCTCATCGTCCTGCCTCTTTCCATGCTGCCTCCCCGGTCCTCCTCCTCCTCCTCCTCCTCTTATGGCCTTCCTTGTCCTCCTCGTCCTTCTCCTTCCCCCTTCACTGACCCCTCCCAGAGCCCTCTTCCCTTCTTCTTCTCCTCCTCCTCCTCTTGTCCTCCTCCTCCTCCTCCTCCTTATCCTCATCATTCGCCTTCTATCCTCATCTTCCACCTCCTCCTGCCCCTTGCCCTATTCACAGCACTCCTACCGTGGCTTGTGACGGGTCGGGAGAAAGCGAAAGATGCTGAATCAAAACGACTCGATCAGCGAACCTCTGAACCCCAGGCCCCCAGCATCATGTTTTTGTGTCACAATGTGGACCCACAAATGTCTCGAACCTTAGTCGGAACCCCATGTGGGGCCACGAAGCGTGTAAGGTGTGTGCCGAAATGAGGCGGCACCGCCATGCGAACGCTGGCTTGTGGGCCTTAGTTGGGGCTCTCAACACCACAGGATGGTTGTGGGACAAAAACAATTCTCGAACCTCGAACCTTCTTCCATAGAAGAAATACATGTGCTCGAACATGAAAATGTTCAGGTCCACGCGGATTTCTGAGATCGGCGCGGGGCAAGAAAAACGCGCGGATCTCCGGAAGTGTATGAGTATGCTGTTTTGTTGTTCCGTCTCCATGGCGCGAGGGGGGCTGGGATGCCCTCCCTCCCCTCCTCCCTCTCATTCTCATCATCATCCTCCTGCTCCCCCCCCCCACCCCTCCCCTCCTTCCCATCCTCCTGCTCCCTCTCCTCCACCTCTCCTCCTCCTCCTCCTCCTCCTCCTCCTCCCTCCTCCTCCTCCTCCTCCGCCTCCGCCTCCGCCTCCTCCTCCTCCTCCTCCTCCTCCTCCTCCTCCTCCTCCTCCTCCTCCTCCCATCCTCTATCCTCATCATTATAATGACTCCTCCCGGTCTGACCATCATATGTGCCCGTAGAACAGGCCGAGCGTTTCACCTGAGATGTCATCACCATGTACGATCCTGGAGCTTGGAATCCCCAACAAGTACAAAATATGATGGCGTGGCGTTTCAAAAATGGAGGTCTCATCTCAGCGCCGCGCTCATTTGTCTTAAAAGCTTGCAACAGCTATACGTCTGGAGGGCGGGCGTCGTTCAAAAAGGGGCTCTCGCCGTAGCCCCACGCACACTCGTTTACAAAGCTTGCAACCAGGGATAGAGGGCGGGTAGTTTTCAAAAAGTGGAGCTCTCGCCCTAGCGCCGCGCACATTCGTCTCAAAACCTGGAACCAACTAAGAGGATGGAAGGCGGTTCGTTTTCAAAAACGGGGCTCTCGCCCCAGCGCGGCGCACATTCGTCTTAAAAGCTTGCGACGGTGACAAGGATGGAAGACAGCCCCTTTTCGAAATGGAGCTCTCGCTCGCTTGAGAGGTCTTGAGATTCAGAAAGCAGAAGCTTGAACATATGTCACAACTGCATGGATGGAGGGCAGCTCCTCTTCCAAATGGAACTATCGCTTGAGACGTGCTCGAAACCCACCTGAAGCTCAAGCGTGCAACTGTTACATAGATAGGGTGGTCCTTAAGGAGGGGAGGGACTTGGGACGGGAGGATGAATTGCAGCGTCGTTAATACATCTTGAGTTTAACATGATCTTCCTCCGCCTCCTCCTCCTCCTCCTCCTCTCAAAAAACTCGGACGTCGTGATTTATATCACAACGTTGACCTCTGGAGGTATGAACCCCGGCCGTTTATCTAGGGCCGATGTTTGACGGTCCTGGGGCCCGGCGAGGGCCCCAAGAGACAAAGAAACCTCCCGTCGTGACCTCATCCTCCCCATCCTCCCTCCGCTAGGGGTGGCAGCTCAGGGGGGGAACATCGAGCTTGAATCAGCGATACATCGCCGATAGGTCGGCGATAGGCTCTCGATCGCGATTCCACATGGTACTGGGCGGGGTGGGCTATCGGACCCCATCGGCGATCAATGGGCAGTTCGGAGCGATGCATCCTTCCCTGAGCCTATCCAACCCTAACGCTGCCCCTGAAAGGTTTCGGGTTGGGCACAGACAGCCCCGCCAGGTAGTCCCAGCTGGCCTCAGCAGCCCCACGTAGCAGCCCGGGGCGGTCTCAACACCCTGTGGCCGCCTCCAGATGCGCCAAGGTTGGGGTGTTGAAACCGCCCCAGGTAAGGGGCAACGGTAGGGGGGGGACCGACATAGGGGGGGACACATCGCCCCGGAATCGGCGATGCATCGCCGATAGATCGGCGATAGGGCCCCGATGGTGAATCCGCGCGTTCTTGGGCAGGTTGGGGTTATCGGGCCCCTATCGACGATCAATTGGCGATTCGGGGTCGATGTGTCCCACCTATGCGCATCCCTCCCTATCTTGTCTTGTCTTGTCTTGTCTCGTCTCGTCTTGTCTTGTCTTGTCTTCTCTCGTCTTTTCTTGTTAGCCAGGGGGCCGACCCCCACGCCACACACCCGCGAGGGCCGGTAGGGAGGCAGTGGAGGGGGGCATCATCCTCAGCACCAGGTCCCTGGCCATGTCGGGCTAACTGACCAGGGGGGGCTGTCGATGGAGGGTCGAAACATCCCCCCTGAGCCTATCACCCTCTGTACCTCCCTCCCTCCCTCCCTCCCTCCCTCCTCCTCCCTCCCGCGCCCGCAGCGCCCTCCCGTTGCCCCAAGGCGGGGCACCCAGCGGGCCTGCGCGGCCCAATGCAGCGGAGTCCAGCCGTCCTCCGGCGGCCCCGGGAGAGGGGGGGGAGGAGGAGGAGGAGGAGGAGGAGGAGGAGGAGGAGGAGGAGGAGGAGGAGGAGGAGGAGGAGGAGGAGGAAGAGGAGGAGGCCACTAGCTGAACCGCGAGAGCTGCAAGCTGTGCTAAGACGAGGACCACAAGCAGTGCTACGAGAGCCACAACCAGAGCTACAAGAGCCACAACCACGAGTACTACAGGACCCACCTGCCGCGCTGCGAGAGCCACCTGCCGAGCCACGAGAGCCACAAGCTGAGCAACGAGAATCGCAAGCTGAGCCACGAAAGCAACAAGCAGGACTACAAAAACTACCAGCTGAACCACGAGGACCGCCTGCTGCGCTACGAGGGCCACCAGCTGAGCCACGAGGACCACCAGCTGAGCTAGCGGAGGCACCAGCTGCGCTACGAGGACCACAGGTACAGCCACGAGAGCTACAGGGGCCACCTGCTGAGCTTACAGGGCCACAGCCAGAGCTACGCGGACTACAGAAAGACCTACCTGACCCTCCTGCAGAGCGACACGGGCGACGAGCAAGGACCAGAAGCAGAACTCCGAGACCCACCTGCTGAACTACGAGGGCCACAGACCGAGCTACGAGGGCCACTACCTGAATCACGCGGACTGCAGGCAGAACTACGAATGCCTCCCACAGCTACCAGGGCGACGAGCTGAACTGCAAGGACCACGTGCTGAGCAAGGACAGCCACCAGCTGAGCTACGAGGACCACACGCTGAGCTGCTGGGGCCTCGCGCTGACCTACCAGGGCCACAGGCAGGGCTTCGAGCACCACAGGCAGGGCTCCGAGGCCCGCCAGCTGAACTGCAAGAGCTACGAGGGCCACCTGCTGAGCTTCCAGGGCCACAACCAAAGCTACGCGAGGTATAGGAACAACAACAACAACAACAACAACAACAACAACAACAACAACCACAACACCAACCACAACAACAACAACAACAACAACAACAACAACAACAATCATTTTACCCGAACGCTCAGTGTTCTCACCAGTGCCAGGGTTTTCATGCGACGCGAGACAATACCCCCACTTCGTGGGGGGGCAGTTCAAGCTCTACCAAATATCCAAACGACTCTTCGCGACCACCCAAACCCAGCTTCCCGCCCTATGACGTTGGGACACTTCACTTCGTGGCGTGCGGACGACCGTGGCTACTACACTGGCGTGGGGTACACACCCACAGAACTTGGTCACTTATTCGGGGCGCGCGTGTGCCCAGCATCCTGCAATTGTGACATACAATACATGACACAGACAGACAGAGAGAGAGACAGAGAGCAGACAGAGAGAGAGACAGAGAGAGCGGAGTTGGTCACATTTTTGGGGCAAGTTCCTAGATCGTCGTGTTTTTTGTTGGTCTTGCGCGCGCGAATGTCCACTTTACTTTTTTTTGCAAGGGAGTATTGAAATTTGATTATGTTAGAACAAGAAAAAGTAGCTCGCGCGAGCTCATGTAACATAAATGTTGAAAAACCATTGGTTTTGTGGGAGTCGGACAGCGCGCGCGGGATGAAATTTGGACATTTTTTTTGAAAAACCATTGGGTTTTTGATGTTTTTATGTTGAAATCGTTACGAAACCTAAGGTTCTGGAAGGATTTCGTCTTGCGCGCGCGAATGTCCACTTTACCTTATTTTTTGCAAGGGATTATTGAAATTTGATTATGTTAGAACAAGAAAAAGTAGCTCGCGCGAGCTCATGTAACATAAATGTTGAAAAACCATTGGTTTTGTGGGATTCGGACAGCGCGCGCGGAAGGACATTTTGACAATTTTTTCTTAAAAAACCATTGGGTTTTTGATGTTTTTATGTTAAAATCGTTACGAAACCTAAGGTTTTGGAAGGATTTCGTCTTGCGCGCACGAATGTCCACTTTACCTTATTTTTTGCAAGGGATTCTTGCAATTTGATCAAGTAAGAACAAGAATTTTCATTTTATGGTGTTTTTTGCAAGGGAAAACGGATTACAACAAAACAACCGGATCCGGTGACAATCCACTTTTCTGAAGCTTTCGCTAGAAAATGAAGGAAATGAGGCTGCGGCCTAGGTTTTGGAGGGGGGTCGCGCACCAGGGGTCTCAACAATAATATTTCTTTAGAAGTAATAATATTCAACAACAACAACAACAACAACCACAACCACAACAACAACCACAACAACAACAACAACAACAACAACAACAGCAACAACAACAACAACAACAACCACAACAACAACCACAACAACAACAACAACAACAACAACAACAACAACATCAACAACAACAACAACAGCAGCAACAGCAACAGCAACAATCAACAACAACACCAACATCAGCAACAACAACAACAACAACCAACAACAATAACAACAACAACAACAACAACAACAACAACAACAACAGCAGCAGCAGCAGCATCAGCAGCAGCAACAACAACGACCACAACAACAACAACCACAACCACAACAATCAACAATAAACAACAACAACAAACAACAGCATCAACAACAACAACAACAACTACAATAACAACAACAGCAACAGCAACAGCAACAAACAACAGCAACAGCAACAACAACAACAACAACAACCAACAACAACAACAACGACAACAACAACAACAACAACAACAGCAACAGCAACCGCAACAGCAGCAACAACAACAACAAACATATCCTGCATGTGTACTCGGGCGACGAGCCGAACTGCAGGGTCCAGAAGCAGAACTCCGAGAGCCACCAGCTCAGCTACAAGGGCCACCTACGGAGCTACGAGGGCCACAGCGAGAGACACCAGCAGAGCCACGAGGACTGCGAGCTGAGCTACGAGGACCACAGGCACAGCTACGAGAGCCACGGGTAGAGCTATGATAACCGCAAGCTGAGCTACGAGGGCCACAAGCAGAGCTACGAGGACCACCAGCTGAGCCATGAGGGCCGCACGCGGAGCTACGAAGGCCAGAAGCAGAACTACGAGGACCACCCGCTGAGCTACCGAAGGCACCACAATTGTGCTCCGAGGGCAACATGCAGAGCTACTACAGCCACCGGCAGAGCTGCCGGGGCCCCCAGCGGACCTTCTAGGACCATGCGCTCACTCACGAGGACCAAGAGGCCCAGCTACTGCAGCCACAAGAAGAGCTACCAGGGCCCAGCGGACCTCCGAGGACCTCAAGCTGAGCTACCGCCAGAAGACCTACGAGGACCGCGAGCTGAGCTACGAGGGCCACAGGCACAGCCACGAGGGCCACCCGCAGACCTGCGAGAGCCACAAGCTGAGCTACTGGAGGGCAGCCGGGCACGTCTCGCCAGGCTGAAAACGAGGCAAGCCCTCAACGGCCAAGAGGGGGTCCTGGGCCCCTTTGACGTACAGGCCGAGCGGTGGGCATACCGAAGTGGAGCAACCCAGACCGACGTCAGGACAGAAAACCTGGAGATGTACGGGCAAATCCTCAAAGCAAAGGTTCGGCAAAATGTACCCAGATCACCCGGTATTACAACACGCTGCAAAACGATTGTTCGATTACGTGCTCGAGCAGCTTACGACGTCGCATCCGCGAAAGGCAAGCTTGGGGCTAACCAATTCTTCCTCGACGTGCTTCAGCACGAAACTTTGTTCGATGCGCTCGCTGTTCGCACAAATGGTGTAGAACATAATACAAACGTGACCTTCAACGGCGAAACCGACCTGTCTGAAGCCGAAGAAGATTACGAACTGCAGCGTTACGGACAAAGGTATACAAAGTACATCGTCACGCACAAGATGCTACGTCTACTTCCCCTCCCCCCCCCTCGGAAAGGGTGCGCCTCGGCCCCGGGCGCCGCGCCGAGCGCGGCGCGGGCTTCGCGGGCGGGGGCGCAGGGAACGGCCGAGGCCGCTGCGAGAGAGAGAGAGAGAGGGCGAGGAGGACGAAGGGGAGGGGGAGGCAGAAGGGGGCGCGGGGCGGAAGAGGAGGAAGGGGGGGAGGAAGTGGACAAGGCAAACGGGAGCGCGCAGCCGTGACCAGTGAGGATCCTCGAGGGCGGGGGGTGGAGAGAAGCGGACGAGTTGACGGGCCGCTTTTCTGCTCCTCCTCCTCCTCCTCCTCCTCCTCCTCCTCCTCCTCCTCCTCCTCCTCCTCCTCCTCTGGAGTGGGGGACGAGGCGAAGGTCAAAAGAGGAGGACAAAGGGACGAAGAGGGGAAGCGGGAGCGGCTCCCGCTTCCCTTGCCCCTTCCCTCCCCTTCCTCTCGCCCCCTCCCCGCCCCATCCCACCCACTGGCCTCCCCATCCACGCCCCAAACCCCGCCCCCTCGAACTCCCCACATGCACTCGGATCCCCCCTCTCCCCCCACCCGCTCCTCCCCCTCCCCTCCCCCTCCCCCTCCCCTCCTCCTCCCTCCTCTCCTCCTCCTCCTCCTCCTCCTCCTCCTCCTCCTCCTCCTCCTCCTCCTCCTCCTCCCTCCTCCCTCCTCCTCCTCCTCCTCCTCCTCCTCCTCCTCCTCCCTCCTCCTCCTCCTCTCCTCCTCCTCCTCCCTCCTCCTCCTCCTCCTCCTCCTCCTCCTCCCCCCCCCTCCCCTCCTTCCACCCCTCCTCCCACGCCGACTCCCGAGGGCTTCGGCCACCCCGCGATAACCCCAGGGCCGTTTCGGTCGCCGGACTTGGGGCCGTCGCGGGAGCGCGTTGAGGCCCCTGCGGGGGCTCTCATTCACTGCTCGGGCCCTTCCTGGACGCCTCTGAGGCCCTTCTTGGAGGCATCGTGGGCCAAACAAGTGGAGCGCCCGACACGGGCACGAAAATCCCCTACAAAACATTGACGGGTTTCACCCCTCGGGGGCCCTGTCCAAACCCACATTGCAGACTCATGGGGCCGCCCTCGGTCAAATTTGAACCGTCAAGGCGCTGGCGCGCGAAGCGCGCCACGGGGGGCGCTGAAGGCGCCTTCAAGGAGTGTCTGGCGCCTTCCCCGAGAACCTCGCGCGGAACTCAAACAAAACAGTTTTTCCCTTGAAATGTGGATATGTTCATCGCACGTGACGGGCCCCGGAGGTCCCGACCCTTCCGAGCGGGCAACTCTTCGTCTCGGAACGATTGTGAATGGCCTCGAGCCCCGAACAAGACCCTCCAGAAGACGAGACGAAGGGAAAAGAGCCAAGGCCCCAGCGATCGACGAGGTAGGAGCACGGCTGCCCCGACCCCCCAGCGGCGCACGCTTGCCGGCAGCAGCGGCCGCGCCGGGCCTTGTCGCGCTTCTCCGCCCCCGCTGAGGCGCGGTCCTGGCGGCGAGCGGAGGGCGGAGGAGCTTCGGCGGGAGGCGCGGGGTGGATGTTTCAACAGACACGGCTTGCACACTCACGTCTTGCTCGGCTTCCTCAGTAGGCAAACCAGATTTTCACATGAAGGGGCCCCAGGACACACAAATAAATACACACCAATAAAAATATCCCCCATGTTTCCCATATGTTCTGGGTTTTTGTTTTCCCCCCCACTTCCCATATGTTCCTATATTTTCTGGGGGATCGACGATTAATTGTGTCTGTGTGTTTTTTGTCCCTCCTGAACATGCTCTGCTGGGGCCACTTTGTGGGCGCCTCGTGGGAGCCCCGCGCGGTGGCCGACCTTTCCGGGCGCCTCGGCTGGAGTCCGGCCACGGGCGCCTCGCGGGCGCCTCGCGGGCGCAGGCGGGCACTTCCAGGTCGCAGTTGGTGGCCAGCCGCAGGCACCGCTCAAACAGGTGCTCGCACGGCGTACAGTGGGAGCGTTGACCCAAGGAACGCTGAATAAGGAACGAGGCCCCTTAGATCCACAAGTTGGACTTCGATTTCCCATCGAAAACCAAAGCAAAACCCAAGGCAAACTGTGAAGCAATCAAGGAACACGGAGCCCCTCCCCAACGAAAAGGGTTCCTTCTTCAGGGCCCCGACTGTATCGTGCATCGCGTAGCATGAATAGACATTATTGCACGATGTAGTTTGCACCACATAGCGTGCACCGCGTGGGTTGTTCCACGTGGCTTCAACCGCGCGCTTCGCGTTTCGCAGCTTGGACCAACAACTTGCACCACGTAGTTTGCACAGCATAGCTTACAGCGCATAGTGTACACCGCACAGCTTACCCCACATAGCTATTAGCTATCACCACGTAGCTTGCACCACGTAGCTTTTACCACATGGATTGTGCCACAACTTTCATACCACGTAGCTTGCACCACACAGCTTACAGCACAGGGCTGCATCGCTCCACGAAGCCTGCACCACGTAACTTGCAACGTATAGCTTGCATCACATATCTTTCACCAATCAGTTTGCACCACATAGCTTAGGCCGCATAGTTTGTACCGCACAGCTTGCCACACGTAGCTGACACCACCTACTTTGCACTACGCAGCTTGCCCAACAGAGCTGATACCACAAAGTTTGCAGAGCATGACTCACACCGCATAGTTTGCACCACTCAGCTTGCACCATACAGTTTACACATATCGAGCTCAAGAAGCCACGGTCTGAGATCCACGATTGCAAACACGTGTTCGGAGCTATGTTGCCAGAGGAACAAACAGCTCTGGAAGGAGCGAAACCTGTTACGGAGGACGCAACGGCTGTGACAGGTGCTGGGCGGTACCCAAGGAGTCGCGCGTCGACCTACAGATCGCTGCCATGCAAGCAGCGCGAAAATGTCGCTGCTGCGCACAACAGGATTGGCCCCCCGTCGTGGCGCCAGGGCTGGATCCGCAAGGCTGTCCTGGGGCGGAGGGAGCGGGAAGGGGACAGCAGCAGCGGCAGCACTGACAGGACGAGTCCGAATGACGAGGGGCCGGACGACGACGCCGACGCCGACGCAGACGCAGACGCCGACACCGACGCCGCCGCCGCCGCCGCCGACGCCGACGCCGACGACGACGACGACGACGAGACGACGCCGACGCCGACACCGACACCGCCGACACCGCCGACGCCGACGCCGCCGACGCCGACGCCGACGCCGACAAGGACGCGACGCCAACATCGACGCCGAAGCCAACGCCGACGTCGACGCCGACGCCGACGCAGACGCCGCCACCGACGCCGACGCCGCCGCCGACGCCGACGCTGGCGCTGGCGCCGAAGCCGACGACGACGCAAACGCCGACAGCGACGACGGGGACGACGACGCCGACGCCGACGACGATGCCGACGACGACGACGCCGACGCCGACGCCGCCGCCGCCGACGACGACGACGACGACGACGCCGACGCCGACGCCGACGCAGACGACGACGCCGACGCCGACGACGACGGCGCCGCCGACGACGACTAAAACAACGACGCCGACGCCGACGCCGTCGACGCCGACGCCGACGCCAAAGCCGAAGCCGACGCCGACGCCGACGCTGACGCCGACGCCGACGCCGATGACTACGACGACGTCGACGCCGACGGCGACGGCGACGACGACGACGCCGACGCCGACGCCGACAAAAA